AGTAGATATACTTAAATGATGTATTTCATTACGTTGTAAAATACTGTTTGCTAGATTAATAATTTAATAATTATTGTTACTTAACAGTTGCTTATTTATGTAAAGTCATAAAACCACACTTATTTAACTTAATTTAATACATAGTTGTAATTGATACTGATTTTCTGAGGTTTTTAGTATCCTGTGTTTTATTAAAAACAAACATGATATAAAAAAACCCTTAAGGATCTTTTACAAGAGAATAAAATAATATTAATCAAGAACCTTAAAATTATTTTTAGACTCACTAATAACATTTTTGTAAATGTCTTCTAAAGAAATAGCAATCACACAAAGATGTTTATTCCTACCTTATACATAATAGAGAAAAACTTGGGACCACCTAATTGTTCAAAATAGGATAGTAGTTAACTCACAGTATATCAATCCAACCAACTTTATTAAACGTTTTACTATTTAGATCATTAGAAAGTATAAAATATTTTGTAATATATGACTAAATAAAATAGATAAAATACAACATTATAGGTTACTTTTGAGCACATTTATATGAAATTAAATTTCATGTGGTAAGATCTACAAAAATGAAAACAACTGAAAAGTAGAATTATGGATGACTTTTGTCTTTAAAATAATTGTAACACTGATACATTGTTTTTGCCATTTTAAAATGCAATGTAAAATGAAATAAGTATGCAGGCCTTAGTTTTCTCATGTGTAAAATCAAAGACTGGATTGAGTATCTCATGGTTATTCTGACTTCTCACTAGAAATGATACATTTTGAACTAATATTCCTGAAAAGTAAAGTGATACATAAGAGAGATTATAAATAACCAGATGTTAAACCTCTTGGAAATATTAGCAGCAAGTACTGATTGGTTCTGTTATCAAGCTTTGGTTTAATAACAACCCCATTCCAAATTTGATGGTGGATAACAAAAAGTCAATAAACAGATCAATAAAAAATAAATAAATAAACAGTGGCAATTCCCTGCTGAGACTGTCCCTCTACTTGTTCATATTCTGATCCAAAAGGCTCTACAAAATATATTCTTTACTTAATCTTACCTAAACAAGTCCAATATGGCTAAATACAACTTTTCACATGTCATTTCTTTCTTCCTTTGCAGAGCTATTTGCCACTTTTACAAGATGGAATCATAAATCTTTCCAACCTCAAAGATATTTCTCCTCTAGAATGTCAGTCAGCTGATCTCTCACAGGATTAAACACTGCTTCACAGTATCAGTTAGATAAAAGGAGACTGATTTCTTCCTTCTAAAAACCAACTCTACTTGCAAGTCACGATGTGGGTCCAACAGGACAGTTGGATCCAGAATGAAGCAGACCTTTTACAGAGGTGATAAAGCACTTTGTGGGATTGCCCTTCCAATTATTATCTGGTGAATAATGCCTAAAAGTAGCAAACAAGCTCCCAGAGCTCAGAGATCCATGCTGAATTCACAGTAAAAACTGGTCTTATGCTTTGTTGTTTCATTTAGAAAAATGGAGTTTTTCTATTCCTCTCTACTTTCTCTCTAGCACGCAAAATAAAAAGTAGAATTGTGCAATCATCTCTAAAATGATTTAATACAGACTTCTCCTTGAAACCTAAGTTTACGAAACATAATAAGATGTACAGCACTAAATTAAATATTCTCTCCAAGTTGTGCTGTCAATTTATGTGAAATTCCTGTTGGTTGTACTAAACTCATAAATCTATTTTAATAGGTAAATGTAACCAATAAGGGATATTAGAGGGCCTTTAATTTAGAGGGCCCAAAGTTATTTGGATTGTTTTTCTAAATAAGTTGTCAATGACATTTAGCAAAATCACCTGCTGCTTTTTCCTTTTTCAGTGAAAGAATTAAAAAAAGAATTCTTTGGGGCCGGCCTGGTGGCGCACTGCTACAGTGCACCGCTTGGGAGTGCGGCGGCGCTCCCGCCAAGGGTTCGGATCCCACATACAGACCGGTTCCGCTCACTGGCTGAGCGAGGTGCGGGTGTGACACCGAGGGTTGCGATCCCGTTGCCGGTCCCGGTCTGGTACGGGCGCGACACTGAGGGTTGCGATCCGTTGCCGGACACGAAAAAAGACAAAAAGGAAAAAAAAAAAGAATTCTTTGTTAAAAGAACAAATTTTTTGGAATATAGCAGTGAATGAAACAACACACATTTATCAAATGCCTTCCCATAAGCTAGACCCTGAACTAGGTGCTTTCTCAAAGTTAGCTCATGTACTGATAGGCTATATTACACCTGTGCTATTTCCTTGTCTCATGAGAATTTAATAAATAGCCAGGAGGAAACCCCTCAAATTTCCTTGAAAAAGTATAACAAACAGAAAGGGATACTGAGAAAAGCACCCAATGAGTATCTTGCTCACAGTAGAAGTTTATGATTGAAAGAGAAGAGATGACCCAGGCATATGCTAGTAGGGATCATGTGTTAACCAAAGGCATGGAAAATTATCAATAATTTACGATTGAACCACGTAAAAAAGTCTAGAATGTCAGATCCAGTCACAGTAATCTCTATGTGGGAGAATTTGCATTTTTAAAAAGTGATCTGAAATCAGAGGACCCTAGATTTAAGCTCTGGCTTGGTCACTGCCCAGCTGTGTGACCTGAGGCAAGTTAGTCATTCTCCTTAGTGCCTATGCCTCTCTGGGTGGTTAGGTTTAAATCAGACTGTGCATTTAAAGTGCTAAGTAGAGTGCCTAGCACATAGAAAGCAATCATTTAGTGGCAGCGATTACTTTCACTATTGTTACCTGTATAATTTTTAAAAATTTTTCCTGCACTTGACTGAAAAGAATCTTTAATGAGTTATAAATCAGACTTAACTGCATATTGACATAAATAATAGCAGGTTGAAAACAAATACAAAATTGCATGACTATACATCAAAAATTAACCCATCTGATTCACATGGCTTTTATTCCACACTTGATTTGACATTGGACTTGCTAGACTTTAAATAGCACTTGAAGAATATTTAGGAAATATCTAACAATTTAACATTTTGAGTGATTTGAGATAATGCACTTATATAATTTCTAAAATGTTTATCTCAAAAAATTGTATTGACATTGTCTAAGAAGTTATTTAAATAATCTACCAAGTCATTTAACAAATTATTTTTGAGATACTCTCCAAGGCAGCGTGCCAGGCACTGACTGTCCTGAATAAAATAAAATGCCTCCTTCTGTTGCCAGGTTAAAGAATCATTATTTTTGTATAAAGTGTGTCTCATAAAGAATACATCCTACAAATAAATGTTTTTCAACATTGTCAATACTTCCAACTAACTTACCTATTCTCATATACCAAAGCTTCATATCTTTAAAATTTCTAGTGTTTTTGAGGACAAGTAAACCAAATAACATACAAGTAAATGTAGAGAATAACAACTGGCCATGGGGAATTTTAAAAAAGACTTATTTATACCCAAAGGTTACCTTTTAAAAAGATTGTAATTGAGGATAATTTCTAAAAGTGAATGATCTAGCTTCCATAGGAAGGTATATGTGGGAGTATAGACTTTATCCATAAAAAAGGGAGCCTTTCAATTTGAATTAATGTATAACTATGTTACACACATTTTTAGTTTTACTTTCCTTTTCACATATTTCTCTCCAAACTACCTACTGTTTATAAAAATGCCTTCTAGTATCAATCACTATGTGATGAACTCACATATACATGTTTAAGTAACACCTGAGGAAAAATCTAAAGATAAACCTTCTTCTACTTGATATGCTGTATCATAAAAACATCATGGGCATTGAGACAACTGCTTTAAGACAAAAGTTTGGAATGGTAAAAGCAGGCTTACATTTAAAATGTACCGAACTACTAGTAAAAAAAAATACTCTTCAGTACAGGCAAATCTCTGATTTCAGAGTGAGATAAGAGATTTAGAACTGTTGATACACGAACTGAATAGCTTTTCTGAGACACTATTTTAAAAAAAAGAGTGAAAATAGTGCATTATTCTGCAAACTTTTTATGAGATTAGAGAACTCTAAACATTAAATTAATATAATAAATTATGTATAAGAAAACATTTTCAACAATAAATTAGATTCTCAAATAGATCAGAGTATAAGATATATCTAATTATATTCAAAACATGTACTAAGTTATAAGTGTAGCAAAAGCCTTCCTGGATTATTTGGTTATTTACATCCTCATTATCAGAACTGGCACATATGTAGCTATGAAAAACTACAAACCTCATTATCTTAATAAATATTATAATCAAATCTCACTCATGAGAGTTAAACAATGGTTTTCAGAATTGGGTCAGTCTTCTTGGCTGTGAGAATAATTTAAGGAACTAAAGAAAATCTTGGCTGTTTTGGTAAGGCCCAAAATCTAGAGAACAGAATCAGCACTTTATTGAATAATAAAGCTTACTTATTATGGTTAACAGTACTGAAAATTTGAACTAGCCATAGGTATATCTCATTTTAATATTTCTGTAATATAATAAAAAAGAAGAAAATGATTATAGTAGACAGCACTAAGCATCACAGAAGATCACAGATTCCATCACAATATGTCAAATTACCAAATCAACAAACAATTAACAAATGAATCGTTAATTAACTTGACTGTTTTTTATTTTACCTGTTTTAATCCTGATCTTTTAGTGGAAATTTACTGGGCAGGTCTGAAAAAAAATTTTCAGAGCTCATTCATTTCTACATGGTTTTACAATAATATTTCAAAGCAGCTAAAGGTACTTGATGAGATAAATGCATGTGTGGGTTTAATATCAAGCAGTGGTCTATCTGGCAACCTCGGCCAGTAATCAAACAATTATGAAATGGAAAGTACATCTTGTACAAGCTGACAGAGCCATTAAATAGGAAAGCTGTGAGCAGACGTATTGACACTGCAAGAATTACCAGAAAGCATTAATTTTGGCATTAATAAAATGGCAGTAAATAGATGACAGCTGCCAGATGAACTAAAAAATAAGGTTACTGGCCTTGTTAAGCTCGCGTCTCATTTTCTCAGGCACGAACTGATCGAGGTAGCGTCTGAAGTGAAGTGCGTCAATGGCAACGATCTCAGTGCAGCGCCGCTGCCAGTCATCCCTGGGATGGACAGAAAGGAGAGAATGACAAAGAACAAAGAGTCACTCAAATAAAACCCTGGCAGGGGTCAGGATGCCAAGAGTGTTAGGCAGTGTTAAAATATTAAAAACAAATAAACAAACCAATATCTGCAGGTCTCAGCAAAACAGGAGGGCAGAGCACTATTTTATTTTTATTTTTATTTATTTATTTATTTATTTATTATTATTTTTTTAAATGTAATTTTATTAATATTATTTTTTACATTCTAGGATGTTGCTACACAGCAGTCGGGAGGGAGGGGGAGAGGGGAAAGGGGAAGGAAATAGGATGGAAGAGGGAGGAAGGAGGAGGGGTGGGATTGAGGCCTGTGGCACCCCCCACATTCCCACAGGAGAGACGGGAGACCAGGGGGCTTCCAGGAGTGGCTTGGTCATTGCCGGGCTGGGTGCAGATGTCAGGGGGGTGTAGCAAAAGCCCTTGTCCCCCAACATCCCAGCTCAGGAACACAGGGCCCTTCTTACTATTTTATTTTTAGATTCAGAGGCATACACATTGTACATTGTCAGACATTAAAATGAAAACTTATCAAAAGACAACACAATATGATGTATTATAAACAGGTACATCATTTATAGTGAGTTGCAGAGAGTATAACAAGAGAAACTTAGTTCTTTGTTTTCCTCTAATACTAGGATTTGGGGGCAAACAAGAGAAACTTAGTTCTTTGTTTTCCTCTAATACTAAAGATATGGCACTTGTACCGTGATATGAGCCCATTCCTCTTTTGCTTTGAGAGATCTGCTCTAAATCACTGGGGTTGTAGCATCACCATATACTGTCCAGGAAATAACCCCAAGAAGTCAAGTGTTATGAAAAATGTAGAATAACTCAGTATAACATTCTACCTACTGTGCTCAACTGCCAACTGCAAGAAACTATTTTTAAAAGACAAAGACATCAAAGCTGACAATAACATGTAGCCTATGGAAACAGGAAGGACTAGCTGAGATGATAATTTTGAAAATGTCTAGAATTCTAAATATTTCATCTCTTGGGCCGGCCCGGTGGCGCACTGGATAGTGCGCCGCTTGGGAAGCGCAGCGGCACTCCCGCCCGAGGGTTTGGATCCCACATACAGACCGGTTCCCGCTCACTGGCTGAGCGAGGCGCGGGAGCAACACCGAGGGTTGCGATCCCGTTGCCGGTCCCCGGTCCGGTACGGGGGCAACACTGAGGGTTGCGATCCGTTGCCGGACACGGAAAAAGACAAAAATAAATAAATAAATAAATAAATATTTCATCTCTTTATAAACTTGCATATATTGCTATGCCAAGTATATTAGTCTGTTTAAGTTGCTTATAACAGAATACATGGAACTGGTATAAAGAAAACAACATTTATTGCTTACAGTT